AAAAAAAAAGAAGCGCAAAAAACGAACAAGTCGTGCGCAATCGGTAGCATAAATTATTTCTGTTTTTCTCACTAACCCTCGTTGTTGTAACTCGGTAACAACTCGCGTATCCCATTTCCATATTATTTATCATTCTATTACCACGTTTCATTATCGCAGACCTACGTGTCGCCGTATAAAACGATCCATCTCGGTCGTTAGATTCGAACGAGGTGAAAAAAGTTTCGAAACGTTGGAGACTACGTTTGCGTTGAAAGCGTCTCGAGTGAATGAAAAACTTCGCTCCCGATCGAAGATCGAGGAAAGATGCTGCTAGTCGAGAAGTCGAAACGTTAGCCTCTCTCTCTGGCAAGAGAGACTCTCGTGGCGAACAACAATGGCGGCAACAACATCTGCCGCGGAGAAAAATCTGCCTTGGGCGTCGAGAGCGAAGAAAAGGCAAGCACAGAGACTATCACACGGCGTGAAAAATCTGAGAAACGGGGAAGCAACTTCTTCTTCAGGGAATGATATACGGGACACGAAGGAGGGAAAAGTCGAGAGGAGAAGACAGGAGAGGAGAGGAGAGGATGGATCCTGTCTCCGCCTCCTCAGTCCTCGGAACTACACACAACGAAGTGGAGAGAAGAAGAGGTCGACGGGTCGCTCGGCCGAGAGAATCAATAGCATTTTCTACGCATTCGGATCGATACCGGCGTTCCGTTGCTTTCGCGCGCAAATCTCGATATACGTGCACACATACATACACGCATGCATGCATGCATGCATACACGCGGTACGATACTACTCTCTCGCGGAGCGCGTGTTGCGAGTCGTTACATATTCGGTATAAATGCAAGACGGCAGTGCACGACCTTGCACGACCTTGTTAATACACCTTGTTGAGTGAATGGTATTTCACGGTGAATGGCATGTCATCATGGGTACCGCTGCCGTGGCACACGCGCGTCCTGGCGGTGCATTGAAACGCGGTTTTCGTTCGCGATCGAAGATTTGTGACGCGAGTCTCCGATAGATAGATAGCCCGGCCTCTGCGCCTCCTTCGTCTTTCAACATCGCTCGGCTCAACCTCGACTTCCTGATAAATGGGATTACGTAATGGAAATCGTGCAAACTCTCGCCCGCAAAAGTAATGGAACTGGTCGCGCGCTGCGTTGTATTCAAAAAACCATACGACTGTAGTGGTCTTCTTGTCTTTTTTTTCTCTCTCTCTCTCTCTCTCTCTTTCTTTCTTTCTCGTCGCTTTGAAAATCACAACTACTAGAGAGGAAAGAGCCGCTGTCGCGTAAACGATTACGACGCGACACACGCGCGATCCGAGCACCAAGGAGAGAAGAGAGTATGTCGCAATCGATGGACACTTGGTCCGTCCACTCTGAAAGAATCTTTCAAAGAGACTACAACAGAGATAAGGATGTGTACGTGAAAGTGACGCGACAGGGTTCGCCACAAAAAAAGACGCGAGCGAGATATATTCGTGTATTTATTCCGTGCCGGGGCAGAATTATCTAACGCGATTAAAAATTATTGAATCAGCTGAAATAACGTAGCTTCTTCTTCGGAGCTTGGCTCTTGGTTTCGATAATTCGCTTCTGATCAAAGGAATATTGCCGATCGAACAATAGGTGGTTCGCGAGGTCCAGATGAAACGCGTATCGCCGAATGATCTTCACCATTCAATCAACTATAACGTGAAAGTTGAGGGAGCAAGGGCACGTACACACACAATTTTCGTTCCTCGAAAGGTACGAACACACCACTGCTCTTCGTCATGTTTGCTTAGTCGCGCGGACACCGCGCACCGTGTTCTACCAGTTTTCGAACGAGCGTGAAAAAAACCTGACGCTTGTACGGCAACGAACGAAATATAAGAGTGCGAGGTCTTTCTAGATTGCCGAGATCGAAACGTCATCGCCGGGCTCTCGAATGAAGCTTGTTCCAAGTTGTTATC